TATAACAGCAGTTTCACATGGTAATTTATTAGTTTGGACAACACGACTCGACAACACTTGCTTTCTCTCTGTCCTGTTTGGTTGCGAACCCTAACTCCGCCTTCGTTGGGCATCATCGACAACCCTAACTAAGAGTCAAATTCATCGTTGTCATATTGTTTGTCGTCGCAGAGCACTCTGCAAATGGAAGTTGAGCACGTATGTATAAGAAGAAAACAAACCAATAATTCGATAGGGTATATACGGGTGGGTCCCATGGTATCGATGTGGCCATCCATGATGTTTTTAGTCACATGGCCACTCTGCGAGGTAGCAAACCAGCCACCGATAGGCATGGTCCAGTAAAAGTAATAAGCGAAAAATAATTGGGTTAAAGCTTAAATAATTTTTATATTTAAATATATATTATTAATATTATTAATTTTTAAAAATTATTTTGATATTAACATATTAAAATAATTTTAAAAACATTAATAATTTGATATCAACGCATCAATATATATATATATATATATATGTATGTATGTATGTATGTATGTATGTATGTATGTATATGTCATTTCCTTTTTATTTCATATCAATATTTTTTTATTAAAAAAATCTATTTTCTGTGCTTTTTATTCAATTAACTATGCTACTAATAAAAAATAATTTTTATTTTCAAAATGATAAAAAAATTACATCAACTAAATATATTAATTTTAATTTAAAAACATATATATGTCCTTGATAGTTTTATTCATTGTCTTTCCATTATATATTTATTTTTATAATTATTTAATTAAATTAAAAATAGATTTTAGAAAATAAATTATTTAAACTTAGTCGAATCATGATCTAGGTAAGGTTACATGAATTAACCTGATTTAACATGATTTAATTCATAATATTAATATTTAATATTTTTTTAATTGATATTATTTTTAATTTATTATTTTTATCATGAAACCTATATCCGTGTGATTTTTGTATAGTTTATAATTCTCTTAATTTTTTTGGTAGAGAAAACTTTTTGATTTATTAGGTTTATCCATCTAAAAACTATAATGAATATTTTAGTGATTTTTTTTTACATATCTCAATGATCTCTTTTAATCTAAATTATTATTTTTAACGTGAAATCCATATCCGTTTGTTCGTGAGGTTGTTAAGAGATTAAATCTTAGATATTACTTACATCTCGTCGAAGGAAGGGAAATTTAATTGATAATGATTCCTAACAATATTGTATGTTGATTCTTGATTTTAAGTCAAACAATAGGTTAGCTAATAAGGGTGAAAAAGAAACAAATAAAGAATAAAAAGAAACAAAATTGAAGGTATTCATTTTGACCTGATAGTACAGAATTAATCATATGAACTGCCCTTCTTGAGTTCCCACAGAGTTATCTTGTATTTGATATATGCAAGCTGACTGTCTTCAACCCATTTTTTCTGGGTTTTTTGCAGATATCTTCACGCTTCAGTCCACTTTACAGAACATGTACGCATGCATCCTACATTGTTTGAACGTTCTTGGACTCCACTACTTCGAACGGAATAATCCAGTTGCTGATAAGATTTTATTTATTTTTGTATTTTAAAAGTGTTTTTGAAAAAAATTATGAAATTTTTATTTTATTTTATTACTTTAAATTAATATATTTTTTAGTGTTTTTAAATTATTTTGATATACTGATGTCAAAAATAATTTTTAAAAAATAAAAAAAAAAATATTATTTTGATATATTTTTAAATAAAAAACACTTTAAAATATAACTACAACTATATTCTCAAACACACTAGCAATGAATTTTTTGTATGTGTGTTTAATATCAGCAATATATTTAGCAATAAAAAAATTCAAAGTAATAAATTATTTCTTAAAAAATAAATTATCTAAGGAATCTACAACGAGTTTTCATCGTTGATGTGGCAATATCAATTTTGCAACTAATTAGCCGTCGTTGATTCTAAAACTAAGTATCTTTTTAAATCTTGATATAAAACTAAAACTTTATATTGTTGATATAATTTTGAAGTTATAAGAATTTCAGTCGTTTGTTAGATAAACTCTCTCTAGTTTTCATCTTATAGATCCTCATACATGTAAATGCATATGTAAATATATCATGCTTGAACTCTTTTAGTGTGTAATTGATCAATAAGACAACTACTACGTACAAAGATGTGAAATATAATTGAATGATTAAGACAAGGCTACAAGCTTGTTTGATGAACAACAGGTTGTGTATATTTGTTTATAAATACATGTTTGGTGGGTAAATTTAACTGATTAGGTAATAATGAAAAGTAATTAGAGAGGTCGGTTTACTAAGCTAATTAAAAGCATGAATATAATCAAAGATACCAACTAATATACATCATTACCATAGTAATTGAGAGATGGGTGTGACAAACTCCTCCTTAACTATATGATAGAAAGAAAAAAGAAAGGAGTGGGGAAAAAAAGAGTTGAGTTATAATTGACTTCTTTAATTAATTTGTGTAACATGCACACATAATGACTGGATTTGATCGATGGCAGAAAAAATGAAGATGTTCTATAGTTGTTCATCATGATCTATGGTCAGAAAAATAAAATTGTGGTTGAGATAAAACTTTATAGATATCGGATATAGACGTGTGTTTCGCAAACTTTATAGATATCGGATATAGACGTGTTTGGTATTATATTTTAAAAATATTTTTTATATTTATAAATTATTTTAATATATTAATCTTAAAAATAATTTTTAAAAAATAAAAAAATATTATTAATATAATTTTTAAATAAAAAATATTTTAAAAAACAACAACAACCATATTCCACGTCCCAATCACACTTATAATCACAAGCATTCATCCAGTCAGAGAGGACCTACTATGAGCTTTCAGCGTACCACGTCACAATTTCCAGCTGGAGGATCCTGGAAAGTAGATGAATTATTGGAATGTGGATATCACAAGGTAAAAGGAATCTAACGACATTTATCACCATATGGGCATGGTCTCGAGATCATGACAGCTCTTGCTGCTTCCACCAAGACCTCCATCATATGCATGGTGATGGTGGGCTCATCATCATCGAATGATTACTTTCTCGGTGTCTGAATTAGATTGCCCTACTCTATAAAACTAGAACATTGCTCGTGTTTTAATGGAAATGAGGCAGTACTGGCTGGTGAGGGTGAACACACGGGGGTGAGGGTGTTAGCAAAAGGTCGACACCATTATGAATGATGGGGCAAGAGCATGGTTGTTTGGTTCCAGTCGGAGGCCGTGATTGATGACACCAGGGAAATGATGAAGCCATCATTTGATGAGGGAGTGTTTTCCTAGTGTGGAACCCGTCAAGATATATGGCCACCATGCACTCCTTGTCCATGATCCTCCACTCCCAATCCTGCCATGTCATTTTCATGAATTAATATTTATATCTAGCCTGTCATCCATTACTGCAACTCTCTCCCGCAGCCGCTCTTTGAGTTCTATTCCGATCCTCTCTTCACAGATTTTGAGGAGAGGGCAACTACCTTCCGAGCAAAAGAAATTTGTTCCTTGTAAGCTCGATGGAACTCTTATAGTTCAATTTAATTCCATGGGTTATACATGTTTTTTAGTTTAAAATCCTTTGAAGTGCATTTATTTGAATTCCAAATAAAATTTAATTGCTAAAAAATAACTAAAAACAAATCAGAGAAGAGACACCCTCTTATTTGCTACCCTTTTGAAATTGACATTAAAATATTATTTCAAAATACCCTTAATGCAAACTTGATTTCTTACCAAACACTTCGTTATCTCTTTCCTTCATTTTCTAACACTTTCTTTCGTATACTGGGATTACTGTAAAAATTTATAGGCTAATGTCTAAAATTTTTTGAGCTGGGTTCGTTTGACCAAATTGTAAATTGTAAATTGTAAAAAGCTCCCTTACATTTTATTTCAAGAACAAAATTGTATAATTTCATTGTCTCTATCACGTAAGCAACCATTCAGTGTACAACAAATGGCAATATCGTAATCTTATTGAAATATTTTTTTGAATATTTAGAATAACCATGTTTTGAATGGTTGATGAAAAATATGGGTTGGTAATATATTATTGAGGAGTTCAAGTTAAGTATGAAAGCTAGAGCTAATATTTATGCAATTATCAAAATTTTATTTTGTATAGTGATATCTCTTGAATTATTAGAGCTAATATTTTTTTGAATTTTTTCAACAAATATTTAATAAACAATTAATATGAGATAAGTCTATCTGTATCTTCTTTAACATACATATATTTCATGCCATTTTAAATAAATATAAGGTTCTTTTTAATAAAAATAAATTATTTATGTAACAAAAATGAATTATAAATTAAACTCAAAATAGTTAATATTGCTAATTCAATTTATTTCTACAGTATTCCAAACACTTGAATTTAATTTAATTTTGTGGTATAAGAATTGTAATAGATTATGAATTTAATTTAATTTTGGTTCCAAACATATTAATGTTTTAGTATCATTTCGATGATTATTTCTTGTATCAAAATCCTTTTCTCTTCTTTACATCAAACATGCCGAATAGAGCAAAACTAAATCGTCGATTTCGTCATGATATATTTCGTAAAAAACTGCAAGTTTTCACATAAACAAGTTACATTACATTACCCGCCAGAGTGCTGATGGTTACGTCCTATCTCTTTCCGTTCCTTGGATCAAGCCCAGATAAACTTGCCAAAACCTTGGGCCAACCCACGACGAGTAGCCATTCGGACCTTCAATGGCTTCATACTTGCCAACTTTCCAGCTTCAGAATCGGTTTAAAATCCATCCCTGTAATTGTTAAACCCAACAATTGATCGACATTAATGACCCTTGTTTACCTGGACATATAAACTTGCATATGAAGATACAACAAAAGCTAGTAGCCTCGAAACAATGCACGTATGATCGAAGGCTGATTTGAGTTCCTAGGCCCTAGCATGAGGTCGTGAGCAGGGCGGAGGTTGCTGTCTGCCAGACGGGTGGGAAGTATAAGTGAGTAACCGAGGCCCAATCAAATAAGAATCCAGTTACATTTATTGCTCAAGTTTACCTAAACAACGAGATTCCATATCTAGATATTGATGCAGAACTCGTCTTAGCATGGGTGGTATTTTAACTTGGCAATTAAATAAATAAAAAACTTGCATTTATGGGTATTCGAAACCAAAAAAGGCCTAATTAAAATCTGAGTGAAGTCAACAAGGGAAAGCCTAATGGGGCTAAGGTTGACAAAAAGCTTTGAATGACGATCAATAAAGAGATCAGTGTTCCGTATAGGGCAGTGCGCATGACGGGAATGTTAATCTGAACCTCGAGAGTGTTTTCGTATGAACTCCACGTCCAGCATCAGACCGTGCTTTATAAGAACTTTTATGCCTTCTCTCCGTAAGATTTCTCAAGGACTGAGACCCCCGGTCCATATATCAATCGGCAGCGCTCATTGAACGAACCAACCAGTCGGGAGACTACCTCCTTGAAAAACACGGATGCCACCTGTCAAACAAAGCCCTCACTAAATCAAGATATACCAGATTTTGTAAAACAATCTTGAAGCCTCAAGCATACTACAGATATTCTTTCCATGAGAAATATATGAGTGCTGACATGGTAAAATTATGCTGGTGACTGAATTTTGAGCTATGAGAAGATGACTAATCCAGAGTGACAGCAAGTCACTGCTATCCCCACCTATCCCAATTTAGGCTCGCCTTTTTCAATGACATTTAAAACTTATAAATCTGAAATGGCCCATCACTACTACCACAGTGATCCCAATCTACAACTTGCAGGCTGAGACTTTGAATAGTCATTCCAAAACAAGAGGTTTTGGCAATCCAGAATTTTCCTCCAATCTTTTCACCTGTCTTTTTCAAGGCAACGCAATCCTGGTGCGAATTACACCCAGCCCATCATACGATAAATCCATTCATATAACAACTCCATCATCCCATTCTGATGTAGTGTAACTAGAACTAGGAGGAGGCTAGAGAACAACGACGATAAAAGCAGCTCCTTCCCTCCATCTGCTTTGTTGGTTTGAGCTATATATGTAGTTTGTGCTTTATTTCATAAAAGAAAAGACCTTTTCTTTCCTTTTTTGAAAAAAAGGCCATATAAAAAACAGAGAGAGTCAATTTTGCAGGCTACATTCATCCTTTGATCATTGTAATCGTGTCCAAACTACAAACATGGACAAGAGCCAAGTGTACGTTCATAGGAGAGTGAACAGTTTTTTTTTTCTCATCCAGCTACATTTCCACTTTTCAATTTCAGGTTAGAAAAGTTCTTCAAACCATTATGAAAGTGCTATTGTCAATCTACAAATTTACAATTTTTTCCTCAAAACTAGCACAACAAATCACCCCCCTTCTCATATTTTTCATGCCAACCAATTTAATATTTTCAATTGGCAAAATTAGGCTTCTTAAGTTACTGTGACTAACTGTACCAGATATATTAACCAGGGAGGATAAATTTCCTATTCAAGTGTTGGAGACCCATATGAGAAATTACTAAAGACAGAATGATGCAATAAATACCTTTTCATATCAAAATGTGTCTTCATTTATCAAATTGCAAGTCTACTCAGCAACTACAGTTTACAAACTAAAATATTATCATCATTGCAAACTAAAACAATAGGCTCATTGGGACTTCTGAAATGCTTGGCCCCTCTTTGAAGAGCAGGTATGCTAATGCTTTTGGAATTTCTATATATACACATCATAGAAGCACAATAGATTGGAGTTTCATGTGAACTAAATTACTTTATTTTTAATTGGTGCATTTAACTTTGTGCAAAGAAATATGTGCGTCTGAAAAAAATTGATAACTCATTCACACAACTGACAACTACAAAATCACAGAGAAAAAGCTCTTACAGGAAAGTGGACACTGTTTTCATCCAATTTTGTGTCCAGTTTCCAGTTTCACTTCAGAATAATGCCCTCAAAAGATATTCAAAATGTTATTCTACATTATTTTTTTTGAGATTTTAATTTAAACATCACTTATAAGCATAAAACATGCATCATGAAGTTAGATATCAGTCACATTACAAGTGAGAATATTGTCGTTGACAAGGGGCATGGAGTTATTTTTGTATTCAGCATGCATGTGTAGTTTGATTGTTTTTTGATAGTATGCCACCTTATCCCACTTCAAATTGTAACTTTTCTATCAGTAATTAGTTTCTAATCCATTTTCAATATCTTAAAAGTTCCAATCAAGTTTATGCCTTGATAAAATGTCTAGTAAAAGTGTAAGCCAAGCTGCAAGATGTCGCGTGCCTCTTTTAAATTTCAAATGAAGCAATTCCACAGTTTTCATTTATTTAGTAACTTTTCTGCTAGCAAAAAACAAACACGTCATAAGAAGTATGTATATAATCATTTGCACAATGAGTGGTGAATGAAACATGCAAGAGAAGCATGTATTCAACTTCATAATTTCAAATTAAAACTAACAAATTCAAGAAAATAAGATCTTTACCTGTCTGTAAAGTGGTGACTGGAATTTGAAGTCCACTAAAAAATAAAGGTCACAAGATCCTGGAACTGGCCCCGGATTGAATTCCCATATATTTATCAAATGGTCAAAGAGGTTACTCTCTGATGAAGTTGTCTGGAAGTAAAGGACAGTCAAAAGTAACATTATCAACAAAAAAAAGACTTGAAAACTAATGATAGCAGCAACTTTAGTCTGAGAATAAGAAAATATATATATATATATATATATATATATATATATTCAATTGCAAGTATAAGAACTAACTCAGGTATTTAATACAGCAACTTTTCTGCACTAAAGACTTCCTGAACTGGCAGCAACTTCTTACTAAATAAGTGAGTGGTATGAGAATTGCCCTCGAGATTTTAATTCAAGTGTCTCAAAAAGCAAGCAGCGTAAAAACTACCGCAAGTTTGCTTATAATCAATACATGTATTAGAGACATTTGTTCAATCATATTTATTTGATGACAACATTGCTGCCTAATTTTGAACATTGATTTTCAACTTGCTTTTTCTCCTTCACAAGGGAAAATTTCTGGTTTTTTTATTTTTTATACCTCCTTTTACCTGCAAGTCTGAACTTCGATGTCAAAAAGAGCCACTAAAATTTCAGCCACACTCCTTGATTGAATCCACAATTAGCATTCTCATTCAGAGACATTTAATAGATGCAAATCTCACACCAAGAAGCAGTTGGGTTTACCTTGAGAAACTTCGGTCTCTTTAATTCTACATGAGAAACATAACTCTCGACGAGAAACTTAAAACCAATCTCCAACTCCGCATCAAATGATCCATCTGGGTACTGTTTCAGTATCTCCGACCGCTGACACCACGGTACAAACCCATGATACAGATCAACGGCAGCAACCACATCAAATAACTGCTCAGGAGAATACCTAAATTCCAAAAAAATAACACAGCAAAAGAGCTCAGTCATAAAAAAAAAAAACTAATTTCCAAATTTGCATTGCAGTATTAAAATCGTCAAGGTAATAAAATAAGAGTTAGTAAAATGAAATAACTAAATTACCCTAACACGCGCCTCTCTTCGTAAACCTTCGATAAAACACCGCCTTCTTCACCGTCACCGCAGCCAAGAAACCCTCGTTTTATAGTAGTGTTATTGTACAAATTTCCTGATGCGAGATCAAAATCTTTCCGGTTATTGTATGTTACTCTACTAATTGATGGTTTCAGGATACCGGCAAGGCTACTCAAGCATCGAGTTTGATCGAATTTGTGGCTATTATGATTTATTGTGGACCTGAAGAGATGTTTCCATACATTTTCACGGGTTATTAAGGAACGGATTGCTTTCGAGGTTGACATTGTAAATATAGGTGAATGTTGATTTTGGATGAATGAAAATCACTGCAAAAAATTGGAGAAAATTGAATGAGATAGGGACGATTTGAAACCCTAGAATTTTGGGGTGAAGAAGAAGAAAGGACAGGGAGCGTACATTGTTAAAAGACCACAAATAATTTATTGCCACAGCGAAGGGCGCCAATTTGGACAGCAACGCGAGACCGATGGACGGATGGAGGATTGGATGCGCGTATAAGTTGGTTTTCATAATCACACTATATTGGTATATTCATGTTAAACGTGATTAATTTGATAATATAATAAAAATTAAAGCAATAATAATAAAGATAAATTAAAAGAATATTTTCCCATACAGAATTGAATTAACATGCAAAATTTATTATCTGAAAAATAAAATCAAGATAGACCCGTGTAAGAATGGAATCTTGAAAATCAATTGTAAAACAAATATTAAAAAAATTAAATTAACTAAGTCAAATCTTTTAAGTTTGTAATATGAAAGATTGAAAAAATTCTGATTAATAAAATATTAAGATAGGAAATAAATTAAAAAAAATTAAATTAAAAAATTAAAAGCAAAACAAATAATAATAAAAATTAAAATTAAATTTGATATATAATAAAATAAACTAAAGTATCGAGAGGTGTAATTAAAAAAAATCAATTAAAAAAATTATATAAGATATTAAGAGATGCAATTAAAAAGATAATTTAATTAAAAAAATGATTAAAATACTAATAATTAAAACAATGAAACCAAATCTAAAAGTTGAAAAAAATAAATGTGGGTTAAATTAAAGAAAAAATTAATTACATGGGTTATTTAAAATAAAAAAAATAATAAAAAAATTATATTTAAAAAAATCAAAAAATTGTTTTAAAAATCAACAGGGAAAAGACTAACTCCAGGGGAGATAAAAGAATGAATCGCCACTCATATAAAATTTGATATATTTTTACCACAAACACTACCTAATGATAACGATGTCGCTGTAAGGATTTAAAATCTCATCGTTGAAAATAGAGTTTAGTCACCAAATAGCTCCATAAGTATCGTCGAAGGATTACAGGAGCACCTAAACACAACCGTCTGTTTCAGATAAAATAATATTTTATATGTGCCAAATACTAAATTGTCCTTGTTCAAGCTTGAAAATTAAAAAAAAATTAAAATGATAAGTACACCCCTTACCAAAGCAAAGGCAATTATAATTCAAGAGTATTTTAATAATTTTACTGTGCAGCTGAAAATGTTGAAAGTACCCCTACCCGCCAGCGGTTAAGTTCTTGCCACTAGTGGCATCTCAGTAATTTCACTATTACCCCCGCTTTCAAGATCACATGTAATGTTTATAGGGAGAACTACCCTTAGATCAGGAGAGAAAAGTACTAATTCAAGAACAACTCGAACAAAAATCATCTTTTAACTATTATAACCTACAATAATAACGAGTTTGTGTGCACAATCATAAATGCAAATTAAAATAAGTAACCCTTTTAGTTTCTTTTGATAACAGATTTGTGTGTGTGTGTGTGTGTGTGAAAAGGTTTATAAATTTACGAGATAAAAATGTAACAAATCGAGACTCTTTTTTTCACGGCTGGGTGTTTTACTTTTATCAATTTAAGTTGTCATTTGTCAGTAAAGTTCTTTGTCAAATCTCTCATGTTTGGTCCTCAGTGATGTGTCCATTAAATGATTATTTTACATCCTCGGTTAGAGAACCATGCTGCATCGTGGATCAAGAAATAAAAAAAAAATTACCTCAACCAAAAATATATATATATATATATATAAATAGTTTATAAAGAATTATTTGGATTTTTTTAATCGAATTTAATAGATTAATTTTAAAATTTAAAATTTAAATTTAAATTATATATAAATTATCCCAACTTGAATTAATTAACTTACTTGATTCGAAGAAGATATTCGATTAGTAAAAAAATTAAATTTTAAACAAAATAATGAAATTGATATAAAAAATCTTTTTAATTCAACTTATTATCTAGCACAAGTTTAAAATTAAAATATATTGGAGTAGTTTTGATTTGATTTAGTTGACATGTTTGGTCCAAAAATAGCCTGATAAGAAAAACTAAAACCAAATTTAACAAAAAACACCCTCCCAGCTCAACTCATTACTTTGCTTAGATTTAAAATTAAATTATATGGAAATAATCTTCATGTGACATAGTTAATTTAATCAGTCTAAAAACAATCAAATAACTATTAAAAAAAAGTCTAAAGATGAAATTGAAAAAATAAAAAATGAAATTTAAATTCAAAAATGAATGAAAATAAAATGAATGAGGAACTAAATTATTATTTAAAAAAAAAAAAAAGAATTTTTGCTAATATTGTTTTTTTGTGTGTGTGATGATTTCTTCAAAGCAGTTCTTTTAATTATCTTTTCATCATGCTTGGTCCATCTTCTTTCGATTGCTACTTGTTTTTTTAAATAATTTTTAAAGCTATATATTTTTTTAATTTCATAATTTTTAATTTTTTTATGTCAAATTCAGTCTCTAATTCTATTTGTTTCTATTTTTTTTATATTATATGATTTTTAAAAAATTTTATAATATTATTGTCTTTTTTTAATTGCTATTTTTTTTTTTACATTGGAGAATAATTTCAATTGATATTTGTTTTTTTTTTAATTTTATCCATCAATATTAAATTGATCGAAGATTAAATTTTTTGATTGAACCTGGGTCCAGGATTCTACATACTATGAGCATGAGAGATTAACCTGGATTTGGGAGATTCACTCGGATTTTGCATGTTTTTTCTTTATCCTTTTTTTAAGCTCATATTTTAGTTTCATCATTTGATGTTTGTGTAGTTGTAGATTGGCTCCACTGTTATTTTTATTTGCTTTCTATATGATTTTAATAATTTTTTAAATGACTTAAGTTCTCTCAAGTCTTTTTATTTGTTATTCTTTATTGAATTTAGTTTTTTATAAGATTTTTTTAATGAAATCACATTAATTGATTAAATATAAACATGAAATGCTCACTTCATGAAAAATTTGTGATATTAAGGGAATAGCTAGTAATATTTTATTAGTTACTTCCTAAGACTACTATGAAGAAAGAAACAAATAAAAATAGAAAAGAAAAAATAAAACTCATACATATTGAAAGTGATAAAATATATCTAATTAGGATTTTTATCTTCTACTTGTATTTATTTTTTTCTTTATAATGAGCCTAAGAAGTAACTAATATCAAATGTCATTAGTTACTCCATGAGCACCTTTCTCACTCATTTCATAATATTTTTCTTTGTTTTCTTTCTTGGTTGTGGTTTCAATGGCATATGCAATCTCTTTTAGTGTCATCATATTGACATTAACACCTTATTTATCAACTCGTTTTAATTTCTTCTCCTTCAAAATATGATATTAAAAGTTTATTTTTTATAGTCAATCACTACTAGTTTTTTTATTTGTTGCTTTTTTTATTGCCTTGTAGGTATTTTTTTAAATTATAGTATTAAATTTATTAAATCTAGTTAAATTAATAACCTGTAACTGAAGTCCTAATTTTTTTTTTTAAAGAAAAACACGAGTGTCACTTGATTTTTCAAGTGTCTCAAAAAGCAAGCAGCGTAAAAACTACCGCAAGTTTGCTTATAATCAATACATGTATTAGAGACATTTGTTCAATCATATTTATTTGATGACAACATTGCTGCCTAATTTTGAACATTGATTTTCAACTTGCTTTTTCTCCTTCACAAGGGAAAATTTCTGGTTTTTTTATTTTTTATACCTCCTTTTACCTGCAAGTCTGAACTTCGATGCCAAAAAGAGCCACTAAAATTTCAGCCACACTCCTTGATTGAATCCACAATTAGCATTCTCATTCAGAGACATTTAATAGATGCAAATCTCACACCAAGAAGCAGTTGGGTTTACCTTGAGAAACTTCGGTCTCTTTAATTCTACATGAGAAACATAACTCTCGACGAGAAACTTAAAACCAATCTCCAACTCCGCATCAAATGATCCATCTGGGTACTGTTTCAGTATCTCCGACCGCTGACACCACGGTACAAACCCATGATACAGATCAACGGCAGCAACCACATCAAATAACTGCTCAGGAGAATACCTAAATTCCAAAAAAATAACACAGCAAAAGAGCTCAGTCATAAAAAAAAAAAACTAATTTCCGAATTTGCATTGCAGTATTAAAATCGTCAAGGTAATAAAATAGGAGTTAGTAAAATGAAATAACTAAATTACCCTAACACGCGCCTCTCTTCGTAAACCTTCGATAAAACACCGCCTTCTTCACCGTCACCGCAGCCAAGAAACCCTCGTTTTATAGTAGTGTTATTGTACAAATTTCCTGATGCGAGATCAAAATCTTTCCGGTTATTGTATGTTACTCTACTAATTGATGGTTTCAGGATACCGGCAAGGCTACTCAAGCATCGAGTTTGATCGAATTTGTGGCTATTATGATTTATTGTGGACCTGAAGAGATGTTTCCATACATTTTCACGGGTTATTAAGGAACGGATTGCTTTCGAGGTTGACATTGTAAATATAGGTGAATGTTGATTTTGGATGAATGAAAATCACTGCAAAAAATTGGAGAAAATTGAATGAGATAGGGACGATTTGAAACCCTAGAATTTTGGGGTGAAGAAGAAGAAAGGACAGGGAGCGTACATTGTTAAAAGACCACAAATAATTTATTGCCACAGCGAAGGGCGCCAATTTGGACAGCAACGCGAGACCGATGGACGGATGGAGGATTGGATGCGCGTATAAGTTGGTTTTCATAATCACACTATATTGGTATATTCATGTTAAACGTGATTAATTTGATAATATAATAAAAATTAAAGCAATAATAATAAAGATAAATTAAAAGAATATTTTCCCATACAGAATTGAATTAACATGCAAAATTTATTATCTGAAAAATAAAATCAAGATAGACCCGTGTAAGAATGGAATCTTGAAAATCAATTGTAAAACAAATATTAAAAAAATTAAATTAACTAAGTCAAATCTTTTAAGTTTGTAATATGAAAGATTGACAAAATTCTGATTAATAAAATATTAAGATAGGAAATAAATTAAAAAAATTTAAATTAAAAAATTAAAAATAAAACAAATAATAATAAAAATTAAAATTAAATTTGATATATAATAAAATAAACTAAAGTATCGAGAGGTGTAATTAAAAAAAATCAAATAAAAAAATTATATAAGATATTAAGAGATACAATTAAAAAGATAATTTAATTAAAAAAATAATTAAAATACTAACAATTAAAACAATGAAACCAAATCTAAAAGTTGAAAAAAATAAATGAGGGTTAAATTAAAGAAAAAATTAATTACATGGGTTATTTAGAATAAAAAAATAGGAATAAAAATTATATTTAAAAAAATCAAAAAATTGTTTTAAAAATCAACAGGGAAAAGACTAACTTCGAGGGGGGGATGAAAGAATGAATCGCCACTCACACAAAATTTGATATATTTTTACCACAGGAACTACCTAATAAGGACGATGTCACTGTAAGGATTTAAAATCGCATCGTTGAAAATAGAGTTTAGCCACTAAATAGCTTTATAAGTATCGTCGAAGGATTACAGGAACATCTAAACACAACCGTCTGTTTCAGATAAAATAATATTTTATATATGTCAAATACTAAATTGTCCTTGTTCAAGCTTGAAAATTACAAAAAAAAAAATGATAATAACACCCTTTACCAAAGCAAAGGCAATTATAATTAAAGAGTATTTTAATAATTTTACTGTGCAGCTGAAAATGTTGAAAGTACCCCTACCCGCCAGCGGTTAAGTTCTTGCCTCTGGTGGCATCTCAGTAATTTCACTATTACCCCCCCCTTTCTAGATCACATGTTATGTTTATAGGGATAAAATCATCATTTAACTATTATAACCTACAATAATAACGAATTTGCAAATTAAAATAAGTAACCCTTTTAGTTTCTTTTGATAACAGATTTGTGCGTGCGTGCGTGCGGGTGTGTGTGTGTGTGTTGGGGGGGGGGGGGGGGGGGAAAAAA